CTGCTGTAGGTATTCATCTCGGTTTTCATTTGAAGCATATTTTTATTCTTTGCTTGTTTGTAATAATTGCAAAGACATTGGCAACTTTGTATTTGTAGTCAACTTCTTTGTGAAGTTATCTGTGGTCCCAGAGAGACAGATAAACTGTGATTCTTTGTTTAGCGGAGATCTTCTGTGTATAAAGTGATGCGGGAGGGCAAAAAAGCATCTTAGCTGTACTTTTCAACCCATATTAATCATCTCCAGCACCAAACTAGTGTCTTCATACACTGAGTGTACAAAACATGCTCTTTCCATGACATAAACTGACCAGGTGAATCCAGGTGAAAGCTATGATCCCTTATTTATGTCACTTGTTAAATCCACTTCAATCAGTGTAGATGAAGGGGAGGAGACAGGTTAAAGAAGGATTTTTAAGCCTTGAGACAATTGAGACAAGGATTGTGTGTGTGTGCCATTCAGAGGGTGAATGGGCAAGACAAAATATTTAAGTGCCTTTGAACAGGGTATGGTAGTAGGTGCCAGGCGCACCGGTTTGTGTCAAGAACTGCAACGCTGCAGGGTTTTTCACGCTCAACAGTTTCCTGTGTGTATTAGGAATGGTCCACCACCCAAAGGACATCCAGCCAACTTGACACAACTGTGGGAAGTATTGGAGTCAAAACGAGTGTGCTTGCACTCCCATAAAGCTGCACTATGCAGAAATTGCTCCGCCATTTCCTGGTTGCTAAAATTCTAATCGTTTCCTAATTTCAGTTTATGTGGCAAAACAAGCGTGTATAGTGTAGAGAATCATTGTACCATCGAAGCCGCTGTGAAATATCATTTCCATAACCAATAATATTGTATTTTCAGCTGTTTGAAGCTGGTGTACAAAACTGAAAGTAAAAGACGCAAAAACTAAACCTAAGAACGGGAAGCATAGAAATTGCGCACATAGGACAGATTGAAAGCAAGTATAAGAAGCAGTAAATGAGAATTACAGATCTATAACTCTAAACTATAATTTGGTCGGGTCGGCCAAAAAGTTACATATTGCAGCTTTAAAAGACCTTCGCTTGAAAAACAAAAAACCAGCAATAGTACTCTTTTTCCATTTTGAGACGCCGTAGCCAGTATACACTTCCTCAAAATAGTCAGAATTAATCTAAGAAATCTGTCATTCATTTTGACATTTTTGCCGAGGAGATCTTAGTCACGCAATTGTACATCTAACTAAGATGTTTGGTGCAGTATCTCTCAATGAAAACATTTTCATGAAAACGAGTCGTCTCTCGTAGAATGACAACAAAGACTGAAGAATCCCTACTGTTGACCAATAACCTACGAAGGGGCGTAGACGTCGGCTACCGACTTCGGCTACCGTCCGACTTTGGCTTGCCTCAAGAAATGTTTTTGTGTGCCTGAACAGCCTAAAAAACACTTACTGAAGTCCAAAACAAACAAAAATGTCACAAAATGTAATCATAATATATACACGATTCTTCCGAACTGTTTCGGCTGGAAAGCATGCAGACACCTTTAGCAGCCTGCGTCAGCAAAGATTTGGATATACAGTGGGGAAAAAATGTATTTAGTCAGCCACCAATTGTGCAAGTTCTCCCACTTAAAAAGATGAGAGAGGCCTGGTAGGTACACGTCAACTATGACAGACAAATTGAGAAAAAAAATCCAGAAAATCACATTGTAGGATTTTTAATGAATTTATTTGCAAATTATGGTGGAAAATAAGTATTTGGTCACCTACAAACAAGCAATATTTCTGGCTCTCACAGACCTGTAACTTCTTCTTTAAGAGGCTCCTCTGTCCTCCACTCGTTACCTGTATTAATGGCACCTGTTTGAACTTGTTATCAGTATAAAAGACACCTGTCCACAACCTCAAACAGTCACACTCCAAACTCCACTATGGCCAAGACCAAAGAGCTGTCAAAGGACACCAGAAACAAAATTGTAGACCTGCACCAGGCTGGGAAGACTGAATCTGCAATAGGTAAGCAGCTTGGTTTGAAGAAATCAACTGTGGGAGCAATTATTAGGAAATGGAAGACATACAAGACCACTGATAATCTCCAAGATCTCACCCCGTGGGGTCAAAATGATCACAAGAACGGTGAGCAAAAATCCCAGAACCACACGGGGGGACCTAGTGAATGACCTGCAGAGAGCTGGGACCAAAGTTACAAAGCCTACCATCAGTAACACACTACGCCGCCAGGGACTCAAATCCTGCAGTGCCAGACGTGTCCCCCTGCTTAAGCCAGTACATGTCCAGGCCCGTCTGAAGTTTGCTAGAGTGCATTTGGATGATCCAGAAGAAGATTGGGAGAATGTCATATGGTCAGATGAAACCAAAATATAACTTTTTGGTAAAAACTCAACTCGTCGTGTTTGGAGGACAAAGAATGCTGAGTTGCATCCAAAGAACACCATACCTACTGTGAAGCATCGGGGTGGAAACATCATGCTTTGGGGCTGTTTTTCTGCAAAGGGACCAGGACGACTGATCCGTGTAAAGGAAAGAATGAATGGGGCCATGTATCGTGAGATTTTGAGTGAAAACCTCCTTCCATCAGCAAGGGCATTGAAGATGAAACGTGGCTGGGTCTTTCAGCATGACAATGATCCCAAACACACCGCCCGGGCAACGAAGGAGTGGCTTCATAAGAAGCATTTCAAGGTCCTGGAGTGACCTAGCCAGTCTCCAGATCTCAACCCCATAGAAAATCTTTGGAGGGAGTTGAAAGTCTGTGTTGCCCAGCGACAGCCCCAAAACATCACTGCTCTAGAGGAGATCTGCATGGAGGAATGGGCCAAAATACCAGCAACAGTGTGTGAAAACCTTGTGAAGACTTACAGAAAACGTTTGACCTGTGTCATTGCCAACAAAGGGTATATAACAAAGTATTGAGAAACTTTTGTTATTGACCAAATACTTATTTTCCACCATAATTTGCAAATAAATTCATTAAAAATCCTACAATGTGATTTTCTGGAGAAAAAAAATCTCATTTTGTCTGTCATAGTTGACGTGTACCTATGATGAAAATTACAGGCCTCTCTCATCTTTTTAAGTGGGAGAACTTGCACAATTGGTGGCTGACTAAATACTTTTTTTCCCCACTGTATATGTCTCCACCCTAACAATGGTCGTTGTCCACACAGCAGAATGGCGGGCTGTCAAGCTCCCGCCTATCCCTCTCTTTGGATTGGTGGATACATCTAATTATTGTAATACTTTTTTGAATATTCAACGAGGGGTGTTGTTGTCAACCGCCTGTATTCAATGGAGAGAGATGCTATGCTACTAGCCACGTCATGAATATGCTAGCCATCTCAAGAAAACTTCGATATAAAGTGTTTTTTCTCAAACTTGCTGGGATGTCACGTGTCCTACTTATATCAGTACAATCGTAACAGCCGAAGTATTACAAAACTTATATTCAATCAAATAAACCTTGCTTAGCAAATAAACCATTACATTTTTTGTTGACCAACTTTGACACTCTCTCATTGACCTCCATACAAAAACTCTTCGCTTGCTGAGCGAAATAAACAAAACATCGCCACCGTTTTTGGCCCAGTTATCCCTCTCGCTTCGCCTCTTCGTCTCTGGCGTCAGTCTTCGAGGTGTTTACCACAGACCTTATTTTCAGCGTTTAAAAAAAATAAAAAATAAAATAAAAAACTCCATTAATTTTCCCATAGGCTTTGTTCAACGAACCATGGCGGCGTTAGTGCCTACAAAAAGACGGCATTACTATTTCTCTCTATAGGTGCGGCAACTTTGTCTGAGGTGGGCGTTTAACCGAGGTTACCACTCTATACACTTTGACAGGTTATTAGCATTTTTGCTAGCTAGTTAGCAGCTAGCTCAGTTATTTCAAGTGGTTTTTCAGTTAGCCACTTAGCTAACCTTTCTGACTGATATGTTTGTATGTTAGCCAACCTGTTAATGCTATCAATGCCAGTAAATGTATTACATTTAACTAGTTAAGCCATTTCTGTTACATTGCTATGTTTAATTTCTATCCTGCTGTAAAGTGATTCAGCCACTAGCCTCAAACCTGCTGTAAAGTAGTGCAGCTAATCTACCTTCTGTAATGTAATTCTGTACTTACCTCCTATTTACCTCCATGTTGTTCCATTGCAATTGTGTAACATTTTATATGCAGCTATCCTGTACATTGACCCTTTTCTGTATGCCCTGTGTTTCTACTGCAGTTTCACACTTCTCCACATTATTAAACCTGCCAATTACAACACCTGCCTGTTCCTTGGAGAAAGTAGTGTGGTTAAGAGTTTAGCTTGCTGTGTAGCTGAACAAGCGCTCACTGGGCGCAATCGTTAATGGGAGAACAGAACAGCAAGAGAGACAGAAACAGTGAGAGAGAGACTGTAAGAAAAATAGATCTCTCCATGGTGCTCAAGTAACCAGTCCTGCACATGCATAGAGTATACACTCAGAACACACACACATAAACACACACACAGGTAGGTAAGTTATAGTCCACTCAGCAGTGGGGTCAGATTCAGCAAGTCTCAAATATCGTCATGGTCGCGGAACCGTAAACCTCATTAATAAAACATGAGTGTTGATTGGCCAGAGAGGCACTAGTGGAGTCATGTGATAGGACACAGCTCTGGTGTCCTGCTGTCACACCTGGGCTGAAAGCAGGTGATGTGTTTGTGGGATGTTGAGGGGAACAAAACAATGCTGTATCTAGATAATAAACACAGAACATCTGTTTATACTGCCCAGGACTCTGTAAAAAGGTCTATACTGTTGTCCTTCATTCTATACCCCTGGCCTCTCTGTCTCTCCTTAATGCTGCTGGTTGATGTGGCATTTAACTGGTCAGGCCATTGGGGGACAGCTCTTGTATCTGTGATGGTATCCAATTCACAAACTTCTGGTCCCAAGAGAGAAACACAGAGCAGATAACTGTCTAATAGAGAGAGACAGAGAATGTAGGACACTGTCATCATGTCTTACCCAGGTTGGATGAAGCTCGTCCCTGTGCAGCTCTGTCCTGTAGCTCCTCTGCTATGTCCAGCTGCTGCTGGTGGTACTGGCCTGCCCTCTCCAAGTCCTGGAGAACATATGGAGAGTTATGCTGTGTGTGTGACCATCTGTACATATGTGTGTGTGTGTATCAGTGCTTGATTTCGGATGAATAAGGTGCAGGAGCTGTCTTTTTTAACCACATTTCAATGACCAATAATTGGTGGTGTCTCTATGTATCCTAGCATGAAAAAGACAGCATAAATGTGGTATTAACACTGGAAGGCTTCTGGTCTCTGATCTCATGTAGGCCTACTATCTCCTGCCTTTGTGCCCCTGATTAAGGCACTTAACCCCCCACAAAGTACAATAACTGCACTGTTGGGCTACTGTATAAAACCCTCCGTCTGGAGAGCTACTGGGTGTTGATCCAGCCCTGAAACAAGTTTGCTTATCAAGGTCCTGTTGAGCAGCTGATGTTTAGGCTACAATGTGGTGTGTTAGAGCAGGGCTTGAACAAAAGCCTGCACACCCAGTAGCTCTCCTGGAGGATGGTTGGCCACCCTTGATATAAAATATTGCAACATTACAACCAAATACTTTTGTCTTTTTACAATTATTCCCTCATTCAATGGATCAGGGATGAAATGGATAAGATAGGCTACTTTATAAGGATAAAATATTCCTGTTTCAGGGGAGATCTTTGCACAGCATGTCAGTTATTTGTCAATTAGGCTATTCTTAGAATATTTGTAACGTTGTCGGAATTACATGGCTAGCCTACTTTTTAATAGAGGGGAATCCCAGCTTTCCAATAACGGTATCAGATGTATTTCTCAACAGTGCCAGTGGAAAGGCAACAAATGAGTCAACGACATTATTGCTTATAGCTAAATAGTTAACTAGCGAGATAACTAGCCATTCTACAAGCTATGTTTTGAATTGGCTATACAGTTCGTCTATCATTATTTTATAGGCTACCTGCTGCTGAAATGTCTCTCTCTCTCCTCGGGCAATAGTCCACTCGCACTGGCCCACACGCAGATGATGCACAGCACACAGAGAGATGTGCTGAAGGGTAGACCAAATTCGGATCATGGCTGGCATGTCAATATTTAAGTGATTGATAATATTTTTAAAAAGGAAAACACAATATAAAAATCCCATGACTTTTCCAGGATTTTCATGACTGTAAAAACCCAAATTTGACCATTTAGAACAGCACATCCTGCGCATACAAACTGGCCCATTCTCAATCTGCGCATTCTCAAACTCGAACAGTACTGGCACGCATACACCGGATTCACAGACTAGCGGCAAATAAACTTAAACAAAGCAGAATCAGGATATGAATGCCCACTCTTCATTGCTATTCAATGTAGGTCCCGCCTTCATTACACTTTCATCAACCTTTTTTAGAAGCTATGTGTGAATCCGGGCCAGTGATAAGCCACTTTGTTTTATAGAGGAGCCAGTACACAGTTCCCCAAAAACTGGAGGTGTTGTTACGATGCTCCAGACAGCTCCAGCCCAAATCAAGCACTGGTGTGTATATCTTTGTGTATACAGTATGTGTGTGGTCTGCTACCTGCATGCAGCGAGCAGCATGTCCCAGGCCGGCATAAGCCCTCATCTGTATGGTCCTGTCCTTCAGCTCCTGAGCCAGCTGCAGCACCAGGGTGTGGTAGGACACAGCCTTGTCAAAGTCTCTCTGGCTGTGGTGGGCACTGCCCAGGTTACTGTACGCCCGCGCCTCCTCAGGACCATTACCTAGGGTCTGCAGATCACATCAGATAATATAAATGTTGATTTTATTCAGTGCCTTTAATACAATAGATGAAAATATAAAGAAGTGAGTGAAATGAAAGACAGATTGAGAAAAAATAATTCGAATTTCAGTTCACTTCCTGAATTGAAATAGAATTGACCCCAACCCTGGTGCATGCATATGTGTGTTTGTATGTATGCGTGTGTGGTTCTTCATTAGTTAAATACCTTAGCTATGTCCAGGTGTTGCTGGTGACACTGCATAGCATTGGTGAAGTCTCCCAGTGCTGTGTAAACAGCTCCCATGTTGCCCAGCTGGCGAGCCTCTGACAGCGGGCATTGTGTCTGCCGTGCCAACAGCACACACTGCTTATGGCTGGCCAGGGCGTTAGGGTAGTCCGCTATCGCTGTGTACACATGGCCAAGGCTGCTCAGCGCACCGGACGCAGCCTAGAGACAAACACACAGACTTGTTAGATTTGTCCTCAGTCCTGGCATTCAAACCGGTAACCCTCTGGTGACTGGCCCGCCTCTCTAACCCTGAGGCTACCATCGCACCACATTAACACTGCCACAGAAGGCATCTTAGAAAGACACACACACAATCTAAACAAAAGGAAACAGTGGGAAAGATGAGGAGGTGTAGAGTAACATTGATGTTAATAATGATGTGTGTGTTTGAACAACCTCAGGCTGTGGACCTCTGGTGTCGACTGGAGAGGAGACTCAATAATCATGTCACACTCACACCTCTGTCCTCAGCTCTAAACACACACACACACACACACACACGCTGCTTTCATTAGAATGGACCTGTTCACGCACCCATTCGTCTTGGTGACAGGTGTCTTATCGATTTGACATCTAGGATGCCTTTAAATGACTGAGCTCGGACACAACTGTCCTCTACACACCAAAACACACACACAAACACATTGTATAGCATATTCAGAACGTGCATAAACAAGGTTACACTGAAAGGCATGTTTCGTACAATATTAAACAAACAATAAATATTGAATAACATATACAATGACATGTGAACACACAGCATAACCATACAGCAATACAGCTGTACTGATATTCACACAGTCAGGTCTGCAATGTGTCCAGTCAAGTTCAATTCTAATGGAAATGATATCTTCACCATAATACAGAGACTTTCTTCTCATTCCTCCTCATTGTATTTCAGTCATGAACAGTGAGTGGTGCAGCTCAAGAGCATTTTTTTTATATTGTTATATTGTCACATTGCTCTGACTGAGAGCATCTCAGCATGGCTCCTGAATAGAAGAAGGGGAAAGAGAAGGAGAAGTACACAATGGAGCGATCACACACACACCTCTCTGTCCTTGAGTTTCATGGCGAGGACCAGCTGATGTCTGTGATTGGTCAAAGCCTCCCTGTAGTTGCCCTTGGAGAAGTAGGCAGAGCCTAGGTTCCCGTGAGCTCGGCACTCGCCTGATTGGTCACCTGGGAAGACATGATAATGAGGTGGGTGTGGACATAAGGCTTCTTAGATGGTGTTAAATGTTCCAATTCATTTGGGTTTGAAGCCTGCAGATTTCTGCTAATACATGATGTAGTGGAGGTGGTTCAGTGAACTACACTCACATGATGAGTGACCTTTTTTTTTTTTTTTTTTTTCGGGGGTAGATCAGCTTTAATATTGCAGATAGATTGTAACTTTATCAATGTAATTGTCTGCAACACTTCCAATCCCCCATATATATTTTTTCTCGCAAATATATATATACAGTGGGAGAACAAGTATTTGATACACTGCCGATTTTGCAGGTTTTCCTACTTACAAAGCATGTAGAGGTCTGTAATTTTTTATCATAGGTACACTTCAACTGTGAGAGACGGAATCCAAAAAAATCAGAAAATCACATTGTATGATTTTTAAGTAATTAATTTGCATTTTATTGCATATATATATATACATACATATCCTTTTTTAAAATATATTTTCCTTTCTTACTTTCCAACCCCACCACCCCTCCCCTAATTGGAGTAAACTAGAGAACAACAACGCTTAGGCCTCTACTTCCAGCTTATACATACTATATACATTTTATGGACACAGTCAAATTTACAATAGTTCTATTTTGTTTGTTTTTACTTCTGAACTTCCTCTACCCTCGATCATTTTCATGATGTCCATCCGGTTTGCTTCTATATGCCATATCTTTCAAACTGTGCTCTTTCACAAAAGTTCTTAACTTATACTTAATATAACCTTTATACTTATTATGGACAAAGTATTTTTACATTAGTTATCTTGTTGTTATTAGTCCCAAACTTTAGCTTCATTCAACCCCTCCCATCTATCTCTTAACACCATCCATATAGGATTTCTATTTGCCATATTTTTTCAACTGTACTGTGCTGTTTAACAAAAGTTCTGAACCCTTCTATTCTCATTGTTTCTACAGATTGTAAATTGAAAATAAACATTTTTGTTAAAAGTATTATTATATTATTGATCGATTGACTATGACTTTTCAGATCACCCAGTAGTGCTATCTGCAGGGTTAGCTCCAGGTAAATATTGCAATCCTTCAGCCATTCCTGGACCTATGACCAAAAACAAGCTACAAATGGACAGTACCAAAACAAATGATCTAATGATTCTGTCTCTTCGCAGCAAAATCTGCCGAGCTGGGAAGATTGAATCCCCAATTTAAATAACATTATATTGGTAGCCAGAATTTTGTATAATAATTTAAATTGAAAAATTCTACATTTTGAATCCGGCGTCGTTTTACATATCAGTTCATAAACAATTTGCCATGGAATCGGTATGTCAGAAATATTTTCCCAACTATTTTGCAATCTATATGGGATGGCTGTCAATCCTTTGGTCCTTAAATGAAACTGGTATACTTTTTTATTTATCACAATTTTCTTTAACCAATAATGGTCTTTAATGCAGGGCCGACAGACAAGTTCCTTACTTTTTCCTCCTTCCACTTTTGCGGTAATGCTGCAATTATTTGGTTGTAATTTTGGGTAGAGCAGACATTTCCATATGTTTTTGTTAGCTGCATGTGCGACTTAACTCCACCAGTCCTACCTATGACAACATTTACGAAGATTGTATTATTATTATTATTTTTTAAATAATGGTTTTTTATCAATTAGTATATTTGAGTTTAACCACAATATTTGTTGCATTATTTGTTCTGTTGTTTCTGGAGGATTAAATTGAAATTACAACCAACTTTCTATGGCTTGTTTTAGAAATAGTGATATTTGGGAGATTTTCAAATAACTGAAAGTGAGAGGTTGTAATCTGAATAAAGGGAAAAATGCCATTCTTGAACATGGGGTGAGACAATCTTACTAATTTGCTAGAGAACCAGTTTGGATTTAAGTATAACATTTGAATGACTGAAGCTTTTAGTGATAGGTCTAATGCTTTAATATTTAATAATTTCTGTCCTCCGAATTCATATTCATTATATAAATAGGCCCGTTTAAATTTATCTTGCTTGCCGTTCCAAATAAAATGGAATATTTTTTTCTCATATAATTTAAAAAACCTAGCAAGACCATAAGCAAATAGGTAAACTGGGATAATACTAAAGAGTTAATCAGGGTGATTTTTCCACAAATAGACAGGTATTTACCTTTCCATGGTAGCAAGATCTTATCTATTTTTGCTAACTTTCTATTCAAATTTATTGGAGTGAGATCATTTATTTCTTTTGGGATATGTATACCGAGTATATCCACATCACCATCAGACCATTTTATTGGTAAACTACACGTAAATGTAAAAATTGTATTTGTTAGTGATCCAATACGTAATATAGTACATTTATCATAATTTGGTTGTAATCCAGAGAGGTTAGAAAATGTATCTAGATCCTCTATGAGGCTGTGGAGGGATTCAAGTTGTGGATTTAAAAGAAAACATGAATCATCAGTGTACAATGACACCTTTGTTTTTAAGCCCTGGATTTCTAATCCCTTGATATTATTGTTGGATCTGATTTTAATAGCTAACATTTCGATGGCCATAATAAATAGATATGCCAATAGTGGACAACCTTGTTTTACTCCGCTTGACAGTTTAAAACTTTCTGAGAAACAGCCATTATTTACTATTTTACACATAGGGTTACTACACATGATTTTTAACCATTCTATTGTTCTCGTTCTATTGTTTCCATTACTTGCCTTATAATATCTCCAATGTATTGTCCATGTAAAAAACCAGTCTGATTAGAATGAATAATGTCCGACAAGACCTTTTTAATTCTATGCGCTATACATTTTGCTAAAATGTTTGCATCACAACACTGAAGTGTAAGGGGCCTCCAATTGTTTCAATGGACTGGATCTTTATATTTCCCACTTGTATCCTGTTTCAGTAATAATGAAATCAGACCTTCTGTGGTTAAAACATGCTAATAACGGTCCTCTGAGTATATCAAAAAAGGTTTGGTATACCTCAACTGGTATGCCATCCAACCCTGGAGTTTTCCCAGATATAAAGGCTTTAATTGCATCCAGAAGTTACTCCTCTGTAATTTCACCTTCACATGTGTCTTTCTGTATGGCTGTTAATCTTACATTATCAATAGAAAAAAATCCATACAATTAGCTTCAGTTGGAGGAGATGGAGGCGACTGAAACGAAAACATATGCTTAAAGTACTTTCCTTCCTCCTTCAAAATATAATTTGGTGAATCATGGGTGACTTCGTCATTTGTAACCAATTTCAGTAAATTCTTTTTGGTAGCATTTCTATGTTGAAGATAAAAAAAATATTTGGTGCATTTTTTCCCATATTCCATCCAGTTTGCTTTATTTTTATAATATATTACACTTGATCTTTCTTGAATAAGTTCCTCCATTTCTTTTAGTTTTTCCTCTAACTTATTCTGAGCCTCTGTTACCGTTTTTATTGCTGTTCTGTTAGACCTTCTATTTCCTTTGTTAGTATGGACTCTTTTGACCTAAATTGCTTTTGTTTTCGAGATGTGTACTGAATTGCATGGCCTTTAAAGGCACATTTAAAAGTGTCCCATACAATATGGGGATTTGCTGTTCCTATGTTATGTCAGACAAATTCAGTTATAAATTCCTCTGTCCTAGTTAAAAACAAGTTATCATCCAATAGGCGTTGATTAAATGTCCAATATCTTCGCCCACGTGCAAATTCAGTAAGAGTTGCCAATTATACAATGGTCTGACTGCATTCTGTCCCCTATCAACACTTTTTAAACTTTTGGTGCCAACGAGAATGACATAAGAAAGAAGTCAAGACGACTAGCTTGATTGAGTCTCTGCCATGTATATCTCACTAGGTCAGGATATTTAAGCTTCCATATATCCACTAGTTCTAATGTATCCATGACATTCATGATTTCCTTAAGAGCATGAGGGTGATAGTTTGTAGTGTGATTTCCTTTACGGTCCATTGAGCTATTTAAAACAGTATTATAATCTCCCACCATAATAATAGAGTCTTGTATTGCTTGCAGGTTGATAATTTACTATATATATTTTAAAAGAAGCGTGGATCATCATTATTTGGTCCGTAAAGTTTAATGAGCCATATCTGTTTATGGTCCAATAACATATTTAAAATCATCCATCTATCTTGTGGATCTGTTTGGACAATTTGCACATTCGGATCAAAATTACTATTCATTAATATCATCACCCCTTTTGAGTTTCTTTGCCAATGGGAGAAGTATATTTCGCCCCCCCATTTCCTTTTTCCACACAACTTCATCTAGAATTGTGAGTGATGAGTGACCTGATGACTTGTGTTAGCTCACATAGCAAATGCCTTGTCTTCCACTCAGTGGGTTATCACAGTATTAAGTCACACGTACAGCGACATCTCTCTCTCCACCCATACAGTGGCTAGCGAATGTATTCACCCCCCTTGGCATTTTTCCTATTTTGTTGCCTTACAACTGGAATTAAAATGGATTTTTGGGGTCATTTGATTTACACAACATGCCTACCACTTTGAAGATGCAAAATATTTTCTCTTGTGAAACAAACAATGAATAAGACAAAAAAACTGAAAACTTGAGCGTGCATAACTATTCACCCCCCCAAAGTCAATACTTTGTAGAGCCACCTTTTGCAGCAATTACAGCTGCAAGTCTCTTAGGGTATGTCTCTATAAGCTTGACACATCTAGCCACTGGGATTTTTGGCCATTCTTCAGGGCAAAACTTCTCCAGCTCCTTCAAGTTGGATGGGTTCCGCTGGTGTACAGTAATCTTTAAGTCATACCACAGATTCACAATTGGATTGAGGTCTGGGCTTTGACTAGGCCATTCCAAGACATTTAAATGTTTCCCCTTAAACCACTCAAGTGTTGCTTTAGCAGTATGCTTAGGATCATTTTCTTGCTGGAAGGTGAACCTCCGTCCCAGTCTCAAATCTCTGGAAGACTGAAACAGGTTTCCCTCAATAATTTCCCTGTATTTAGCACCATCCATCATTACTTCAATTCTGACCAGTTTCCCAGTCCCTGCCGATGAAAAATATACCCACCGCATGATACTGCCAACACCATCCTTCACTGTGGGGATGGTGTTCTCGGGGTGATGAGAGGTGTTGGGTTTGTGCCAGACATAGCGTTTTCCTTGATGGCCAAAAAGCTCAATTTTAGTCTCATCTGACCAGAGTACCTTCTTCCATATGTTTGAGAGTCTCCCACATGCCCTTTGGTGAACACCAAACATGTTTGCTTATTTCTTTCTTTAAGCAATGGCTTTTTTCTGGCCACTCTTCCGTAAAAGGCCAGCTCTGTGGAGTGTACGGCTTAAATTGGTCCTATGGACAGATATTCCAATCTCCGCTGTGGAGCTTTGCAGCTCCTTCAGGGTTATCTTTGGTCTCTTTGTTGCCTCTCTGATTAATGCCCTCCTTGCCTGGTCCGTGCATTTTGGTGGGCGCCCCCTCTTATTTTTTTCATTTCACTTCACCAATTTGGACTATTTTGTGTATGTCCATTACATGAAATCCAAATAAAAATCATTTTAAATTACAGGTTGTAATGCAACAAAATAGGAAAAACGCCAAGGGGGATGAATACTTTTGCAAGGCACTGTACCTAGTGTATGTATCTGTGTGTATGCATGCAATTGTGTGAGTCAAAGCAATTGTGAGTGTGTGTATGTGTGTTTCAAGTTGTATTGTCACATGCACAGGTGTAAAACTGTACAGTGAAATGCTTGCGAGCTCTTTCCCAACAATGTGTGGGTGGGTGTGTGTGTACCTAGCGTCTTGGCGACCTCCAGGTCTCGCTGCATGTATCCTGTGCTCTTCTCTGCGTTGCCTAGCGACCAGTTGGCTGAGCTAAGAGCAGAGAACACTGAACCTCGGAGCTTCAGAAAAAACAGAGAAGAAAGAAGAAACGTGATGATCATCACACACACATAGAAACACACACACATACAGAAACACACAAACTGCCTTGCCTTCAGAGAGCATGTGCCAATCTTTAGCCCCGCCTCCAGGACCACCACAGAGGCGCCGTGGTAACCAGCAGTTAGCAGCTCCTGACCAATCACACACACCACCACGAACGGACTCTTTTCCAGCTTCATCCTCTGCAGCTGATGGTAGGTGGGTTCTAGAGAGTCTATGGAGACACACACACACACAGCTATAGAAATGCATTTATTCATGTATACATTTGTTTTTGCAATGTTTATTATATTACAGACACCTTAATGCATACTTTTAAATGGTATTATGTAAGATAAACATACAAATATAAGTATAATTTAAAAAAGTTATAATGTTACTGTCCCCACTACAACAACAAAATACCGCCGGCTTCAAAGCCAAATACATAGCACCAGCAATACAATGTATATATACATCATTGACTGTACCCCAGAACGATCAACTATGGAGAGAACAAGGAATCTACGGAGGAGAGACACTGTGGAAGAGCTAATGATCAGCTTCAGTGTATACACTTTCTTTCTTCTATTTCTCTATTTCTCTCTCTATTCTCTCTTTGTCAGTCAATCAATTCTCTACCTTCTCTCGTTTACCTGCCTTCTTTTACTTATTCCTCTTCATATGTGTACCTCACAAATCCTATTTTCGTTCGACCGTCTTAAGTGGCCATTTCTATTCAAAACGTTTGACGCATTCAACCTTCCAGCTGAAATAATACATTTCATAAAAATATTATATAAATATCCTAAAGCAAAAATATACACAAATAATACAGTATCTGATGAAATTGCTTTAGAAAGGGGCACGAGACAGGGATGTCCTTTCTCCCCCCTCCCTCCTGTTTGCGCTGGCAATTGAACTGCTTGCAGAAACAATTAGACAGGACCCAATCGTAACAGGTATCAGAATTGGTACACATAAACTAAACTAGTTCCTATCTCCAGGTTCCTATCCCCTAATTAGTCAGTGTATAAGTGTTCCCTCTGACCCCTTGTCCTTGTGGGTGATTGTTATTTGTGAGAGTAGTGTAGCTCGGTGGAGCTACTCGTACATATTGTTGCCAGGGTAGATTTTCCCCTGTGCATATGTATTATTGGATATCCGTTACAGTGTATTTGCCAGGGATGATAGTTTCCCCTGTGCCTGTTTCGTTGATCGCTATTTGAGCGCATTTGTGTGCCTACAAAGGAATAAACTCTGTATTCGGTGATTACCCTCCTGCGCCTGACTCCTTTCCATCACACTCATCACAGAATCACCCACCCGCTATGGAGTCAGCGGGAGAAGAGCGCATGCCTGGAGTCGTGGCACGGGTCCAGGAGCATTCCACGATGCTGGCCAGCTTGGGGGAAGCGATGGATCGGGTTCTTCAGGTCGTCCAATGCCTGGAGAGGAGGACCCGATCTGTCGAGACCAGCTGGCCAACCAGATCCAGCCACCTACACCCCAGCACCTGGAGGGATCCAGATATCCCGACCACGGGCGTTTGATGGGACGGCGGCGCTGTGCCAGGGATTCCTCCTCCAAATGGAGCTGTACTTCTCCAGCATCAGGTCGGCGCCATCGGAGCGGGAGAAGGTGTCCATCCTCGTTTCCTGCCTCTGTGGGAAAGCCCTGGAGTGGGCCAACGCGGTGTGGAACGAAGGAGGAGCCACGTTGGAGGACTACGGGGAGTTCGCTCGCCTCTTTCGGGCGGTCTTCAATCACCCGCCCGAGGGTCGAGAGGCGGGTGAGCGGCTGGTCCACCTGAGACAGGGGACGAGGACCACGCAGGACTTCGCGTTGGAGTTTCGGACACTGTCCGGGTGGAACGAGTGGGCCCTGATCGACCATTTCCGGTGGCATCTGCGGGAGGACGTCCGACGGGAGCTAGCCTGCCGGGACACCATGTTGTCCTTCAATAAACTGGTGGACATGGCCATTCGTTTGGACAACCTGCTGGCAGCCAGAGGACGTCCTGGTAGGGGTCTGCCCGTTTCCACCCCGGACGACTCGGATCCCGAGCCGATGGAGCTGGGTGGAGCCGCCGGCCAAGAGAGCGGAGGAGGACACTGACAGTCTGGTGGCACGAAGGGACAGTACACCATACGTCGTAGTCAACGTTCTTTTGGGCCTGGAGGCGGCAGGCAGGGCACTCACGCATCACCCCAGGTATCGAACACCCACACTTGTTCAGGGCCCTCTGCTGCGCACTGTACCCTACCTATCCACTTTCCCGACCACATGGTAGTTCCCCAGTGTAAGGCGCTAGTCGATTCAGGCGCAGCTGGGAACTTTATGGACAGGGCATTCGCACGCCGTCAAGGCATTTCATTGGTTCCCCTATCCATTCCACTCCCCATCAGAGCACTTGATAGTCGACCATTAGGGTCCGGGTTTGTTACGGAAGTCACTATACCAGTCACCATGATCACCCAGGAGACACATTATGAGAAGGTTATTTTTTCGATTATTGAGTCTCCTGCTTTCCCTGTGGTATTAGGTATCCCTCGGTTAGCACTCCACAACCCCACCTTCTCATGGCCGCAGAGGGCTCTCACGGTGTGGTCGCGAGAATGTCAGGGTAGGTGTCTAGATGTTTCCGTTGGTGCAACCATGGTGGAAAGTCCAGACGGTACCTCCACCGTGTGTATTCCCCCCGAATACCTCGATTTGGCGCACGCGTTTTCAAAGACGCGTGCGACTAAATTACCAACTCATCGGGCGGGGGATTGCGCGATAAACCTTCGGGTAGACGCTGTACCTCCCAGGAGTCATGTGTACCCCCTGTCGCAGGCTGAAATGGAGGCTATGGAAACATACGTCTCCGAGTCCCTGGGCCAGGGGTATATACGTCCCTCCACTTCACCTGCCTCCTCGAGTTTCTTCTTTGTGAAGAAGAAAGACGGCGGTCTGCGCCCGTGCATTGATTATCGATCACTGAACAAGGAGACGATAAGATTTAGTTATCCTCTCCCCCTCATTCCTTCAGTGATTGAGTCAATGCATGGGGCGCGCTTCTTCACTAAGCTAGATCTCAGGAGTGCATACAACCTGGTGCATGTTCGGGAGGGGGATGAGTGGAAGACAGCATTCAGCACAACCACAGGGCATTATGAATCCCTGGTGATGCCCTACGGTTTGATGAATGTTCCATCCGTCTTCCAGTCCTTTGTGAACGAGGTGTTTCGGGACATGCTTGGTCGCGGTGTGGTGGTCTACATCGATGACATCCTGGTGTATTCCGCTACTCGCACCGAGCATGTGTCCCTGGTTCGCAAAGTGCTGGCCTGACTGTTGGAAAATGACCTTTATGCCAAGGCAGAGAAGTGTATGTTTTTCCAGCAGTCTCCTCGGATACCGCATTATCATCTCAGGTGTGGAGATGGAGGGAGATCGCATTTCAGCCATGTGAGTAATTGGCAGACTCCCCCACGGTTAAGGAGGTGCAGTGCTTCCTTGACTTTGCCAACTACTATCGGAGGTTTATCCGGGGCTTTGGCAAGGTTGCAGCTCCCATTACATCCCTGTTGAAGGGTGGGCCGTCCCGGCTCCGCTGGTCTGCTGAGGCTGACCTGGCCTTCAGGAGACTGCGGGGTCTGTTCACCTCAGCTCCGGTACTGGCCCACCCCGATCCATCACTACCATTCGTAGTGGAGGTGGATGCGTCCGAGGTAGGGATAGGCGCTGTCCTGTCCCAACGCTCGGGCACGCCACCCAAGCTCCGCCCCTGTGCCTTCTTCTCTAAGAAGCTCAGCAGAACTACGACGTTGGTGATCGGGAGCTGTTGGCTGTTGTCCGAGCTTTGACCGTGTGGAGGCATTGGCTCAAAGGGGCGAAACACCCTTTCCTCGTCTGGACGGACCACCGTAACCTGGAGTACATCCGGGCAGCGAGGAGGCTGAATCCTCGCCAGGCCAGGTGGGCTCTATTCTTCACCCAGTTTGATTTTACACTATCATACATTCCGGGTACGAAGAACGTGAAGGCAGACGCACTGTCCCGGCTGTATGACACAGAGGAGAGGCCCAGAGACAACACCCCAATACTCCCGGCCTCCTGCATTGTGGCGCCGATAGGATGGGCGATGGACGCGGATATAGAGCAGGCATTACGCACCGATCCATCTCCACCGCAGTGTCCAGCTGGGCTGCGGTACGTGCCTGCTCTTATCCGTGATCGTCTGATCTTCTGGGCATACACATCACCCTCCTCTGGTCACCCAGGTATCGGTCGTACAGTGCGCTGCTTGATCGGAAAGTACTGGTGGCCTACCTTGGCTAAGGACATGATGGTGTACGTCTCCTCCTGCTCGGTGTGCGCCCAGAGTAAGGCACCTAGGCACCTCCCAGCGGGTAAGCTACAACCTTTACCAGTTCCACAACGACCATGGTCTCACCTTAGTATAGATTTTTTGACTGATCTTCCCCTCTCCCAAGGTAACACCACCATCCTGGTCGTTGTGGACCGCTTCTCCAAGTCCTGCCGCCTCCTTCCTCTGCCCAGTCTCCCCACGGCCCTGCAGACTGCGGAGGCCCTGTTTACTCACGTCTTCCGGCACTACGGGGTGCCAGAGGATATAGTGTCCGACCGAGGTCCCCAGTTCACGTCCAAGGTTTGGAAGGCGTTCATGGAACGTCTGGGGGTCTTGGTCAGCCTGACCTCTGGGTTCCACCCAGAGTCAAATGGGCAGGTGGAACGGGTAAATCAGGATGTGGGTAGGTTCCTGCGGTCCTACTGCCAGGACCGGCAAGGGGAGTGGTCGGTGTTCTTGCCATAGGCAGAATATGCCCAGAACTCTCTCCGGAACTCCTCTACTAACCTAACACCATTCCAATATGTTTTAGGTTACCAACCGGTTCTGGCACCGTGGAACCAGAGCCAGACCGAGGCTCCTGCGGTGGATGACTGGTTTCGGTGCGCGGAGGAGACGTGGGACGCTGTCCACGTTCACCCCCTGCGCGTTGTGCATCGTCAGAAGGTACCTTCAGTACCTTGTGGAGTGGGAAGGGTACGGTCCGGAGGAACGGTGCTGGGTCCCGGTGAGGGATATCCTCGATCCCTCCCTGTTGCGGGATTTCCACCATCGCCATCCGGCTCGCCCTGCTCTGCGTCCTCATGGCCGTCCACGAGGCCGGGGTCAGCGCACTGCTGGAGCTGCGCGTCAAGGGGGGTGTACTGTCACGACTTCGGCCGAGGCTGCCTCCCCTCCTTGTTCGGGCAGGCTTCGGCGTTTGTCGTCACCGGCTTACTAACCACTGCCGCCCCAATCATCATCACAATTGTCTTGTCTTGTCAATCACACACACCTGGTCCCTATCCCCTAATTAGTCTGTGTATAAGTGTTCCCTCTGCCCCCTTGTCCTTGTGGGTGATTGTTATTTGTGAGAGTAGTGTAGCTCGGTGGAGCTACTCGTACATATTGTTGCCAGGGTAGATTTTCCCCTGTGCATATGTATTATTGTATATCCGTTACAGTGTATTTGCCAGGGATGATAGTTTCCCCTGTGCCTGTTTCGTTGATCGCTATTTGAGCGCATTTTTGTGTCTACGAAGGAATAAACTCTGTATTCGGTGATTACCCTCCTGCGCCTGTCTCCTTTCCATCACACTCATCACACTTATTCTAAAATGGATTAAATTGTTTTTTCCCCTCATCAATCTACACACAATACCCAATATGACAAAGCAAAAACAGGTTTGCAGAAATGTTTGCAAATGTATTAAAAAAAAAACTGAAATATCATATTTACATAAGTATTCAGACCATTTACTTAGTACTTTGTTGAAGCACCTTTGGCAGTGATTACAGCCTCAAATCTTCTTGGTTATGACGCTACAAGCTTGGCACACCTGTATTTGGGGAGTTTCTCCCATTCTTCTCTGCAGATCCTCTCAAGCTCTGTCAGGGTGGATGGGCACGTCGCTACACAGCTATTTTCAGGTCTCTCCAGAGATGTTTGATCGTGTTCAAGTCCGGGCTCTGGCTGGGCCACTCAAGGACATTCAGAGACTTATCCCGAAGCCACTCCTGCATTGTCTTGGCTGTGTGCTTAGGGTCGTTGTCCTGTTGGAAGGTGAACCTTCACCCCAGTCTGAGGTCCTGAGTGCTCTGGAGCAGGTTTTCATCAAGGCTCTCTCTGTACTTTGCTCCGCTCATCTTTCCCTCGATCCTGACTAGTGTCTCAGTCCCCTGCCTCTGAAAAACATCCCCTCAGCATGATGCTGCCACCACCATGCTTCACCGTAGGGATGGTGCCAGGTTTCCTCCAGACGTGACGCTTGGCATTCAGGCCAAAGAGTTCAATCTTGCTTACATCAGACCAGAAGATCTTGTTTCTCATGGTCTGAGAGTCCTTTAGGTGCCTTTTGGCAAACTCCAAGCAAGCTGTCGTGCCTTTTACAGAGGAGTGGCTTCTGTCTGGCCACTCTACCATAAAGGCCTGATTGGTGGAGTGCTGCAGAGATGGCTATCCTTCTGGAAGGTTCTCCCATCTCCACAGAGGAACTCTGGAGATCTCTCAGAGTGACCATCGGGTTCTTGGTCACCTCCCTGACCAAGACCCTTCTCCCCCGATTGCTCAGTTTGGCTGGGCGGCCAGCTCTAGGAAGAGTCTTGGTGGTTCCAAACTTCTTCCATTTAAGAATGATGGAGGCCACTGTGTTCTTGGGGACCTTCACTGCTGCAGAAATGTTTTGGTATCTGTGCCTTGACACAATCCTGTCTCGGAGCTCTACGGACAATTCCTTCGACCTCATGGCTTGGTTTATGCTCTGACATGCACTCTCAACTGTGGGACATTATATAGACAGGTGTGTGCCTTTTCAAATAATTTCAAATCCATTGAATTTCCCACAGGTGTACGCCAATGAAGTTGTAGAAACATCTCAAGGATGCACCTGAGCTCAATTTCGAGTCTCATAGCAAAGGGTCTGAATACTTATGTAAATAAGCTATTTCTGTTTTCTATTTTTAATGAATGTGCAACAGTTTCTAAATACAGGTTTTCGCTTATGTCATTATGGGGTATTGTGTGTAGATTGATGAGGATTTTCTTTATTTAATCCATTTTAGAATAACAAAATCTGGAAAAAGTCAAGGGGTCTGATATAAAATCAATGTGGAAAAAACTGAAATAATGTCCCTAAATCTGAGCGTGGTTTTAACCTTCCAGATTTGGAATTGTTTCAACTCGCCACCCAAGGCTTTTACTTGCGACATATTGTTAAATGCACTAAAGAGGAACAATGGGTACATATTGAAGATGCCCATGCTCATCCCCAGAATCTTTTCATGTGTCTGTTTTCAAAGGATGGAGCTAAGAACATGAACAACTTCATAGTTCAAATGTAAATAAATGTATTCGAAAATGTAATCTACGTAATCCACAAAAGTAATTATTTATCATGAGGGCCATAAACAATAACTAATAATACTGTATCCTCCAAGAAAGTTTCAAATCTCACCTTTCTGGTAAAAAAAGAGTTGTAAATTGCTGTGGTGTAGTCACTTTTGAGGACACAAGCTCAAGTACACAGTACAAATATGATACAAATATGTTATATTTTATATTATGTATTTCCTATTCAACAAAACTGTATGAATAAGGCTTGAAATTACTTATATTTTTTCTAAATATATTATAAAACGACTAACTGTAAGATTTCACCTTCCTTATAACTGTGAAATACATCTTTGTATATTTAGTGTTAGAGAAAATGTGCGTATTTTCTAAAGGTCTCTCTTGATCAAAACGTCTGGGGTTATCCAGGGGGCTCGTGAGAAAAAATTGACAAACACAACGTAGCAACCAGAGTAAACAGCCAAGTAGCCTACTATCTATGGTGGTGAAATGGACAGCGCTCTCCAGGTGCTGATTAATTCAAAGCAATTTAAACGTCACTGCAGAACACCCGCCAAACGTAGGCTATAGCCTACACATACTCGAGTATAGCTGTGTGGCTTACACAAGTCAGAATTTCTTATAAGCCTAATTTTCAAGACATCAATGTACAGCAACATGTGTAGCAACATAGACGTCACTGCAGAACACCTTCCATATGCATATGCACACATACTCAGCTGTGGGCAGTGCTTAATTTGAGTAATCCTGCAGGAACAGGATCCGGCACCTCTCATATTTGACTTAGTTCGTTCCGGCACCTATTTGCCCGGATCCAGTATCTCTCGCGGCATGATTTATTAATTGTTTCACTGTTTGCAATGTAAACATTCTAATAAAAGCGTTCAATCAAGTTGCCTCCTCATTATTTCTCCCGTCCCCCAGAAAAAAACATCAAGTAAAAGCGCGGAGATCCTTCTGTGTAATCACCCTATCCTGCCACACTGATTCCAGACCTGCTCTTTTATTTGTACATAGAGGTTATGGGAAGGACCGGTGGGGTAAGTAACTGATCTTGGCACAGGTCTTGTCTTAGTAGTGGTTGTCAGCTAGTGAAGAGGTCCCTTATACTCCTGTGTCCGAGAGAACCAGAGCTACCGCTCAATACAAGCCAATTTGATCTAAGGTGTCCACATATCGATTTAAAGCGAAAATATGGGTTGGAACCGGTACCAGAATCACACAGGTCCACAAAATAGGGGACTATACATCTAGGAGGTTTTAAAAACACTATAACAACATGGAAGAAAATGAAACGGATTCTACAAGAACCAATATCACTCCCTAAAAACACACCCCCTACGGAACAATCTTTTGATAGCTTTTCAGAATTCACCTATAAATTGGCCCACATGGAAAACTAGAAAGCATAGAAACCGTAAATGACGTGGTAATAGGAAATACAATTATTTCCATGACAGAATTAAAAAGCAATTTTGGACTGACCAATGTAGACATTGCAAATATATGCAACTTAAAACCTGAAAGCTTTTGGACATCAGAGCAATTTTGAGGGAATCCTATCTGAGTCAGAAACAAATACTCATATGATAGGTAAGATATACGAAACCTTGCAGAGAGCCTATCCAACTGACAATCTCTTGGAAAGAAATATCAACTATTGGAACTAAGACTTAAAAATAACTGATATAGGCACAAGATGGAGGGAGTGTTGGAACATAACGAACAAATTACAGTTAACAAAAATGTAGCTTAATCCAGTATAAACTAATGTATAGAATGTATTATACAAGAGACAAATATAAACAAATTCTACAGCACTACTGCAGAGTCATGTCTTAAGTGTAAAACTAACAATGACTCAATAATTCATGACTTCTGGGAGTGCTATAAAGTCCAAAAGTTATGGGCAGAGTTAGAAAGCTGGCTGTGAGAAGTTTTACAATGTAAATTAATCCAGTGCATATTTCAAGAGATGGCATATGGAGGTGCGGTGAGATACCCAATGGGTTGGACAATATTATTTTTGTCACTTATATTGAAGAAGCTATTACTTAAATATTGGAAGTAAAATGATACCCCAACGTTAAGAGAATGGAAGAATCAAATACTTGAAAAAAATCTGGCTACAGACAGAAACAACATAACACAATTTGAAGTCATATGAGGTAGTCTTACAAGCATTAGAAACAACATTGGGTGTGGATATATATGGTGGGAACATGTGGGTCTGAGCAAGTGTGATGTCATTAATGTTTGTGGAAATGCATGTAAATGTTAAGTTGTCTATTGTTTTTGTCTATGTATGTTTTTGTTTATTGTAACAATATATATTTTTGAATCCACTTTTATCCTACTTTCTCTTCCTCCCTCATTCACCTATCTATCTTTCTCTTTTCTTTCTGCCATCTCTCCTTCTGTCTTTTCTCTTGGGGGCTTTAACATCCCACGTGTTATCCTGGAGGTACTGGGTATATAAAGAAATTATGGATTGTGGGTAAATGAAGGGATTATGACAACCAAAAGAATGATGATTCAGTCTGATGGAACCTCCTCGCATCTTATTCAGTTTCTTAAACACTCCTGCTGTGTGTTTCTGTATTTCTCTCACTAATATAAGTGAAACTGTTTGATTCAGGGTGGATGATGTCACAAGAAGCAGCTTTGAATTACACTATATCTTAGCTGAAAGCACAGATATTGTGTTATGACCCTGAGTAAAACACGCACACACATCCACATACACACTCACGCATAAACACAAACATGCAAAGACACACACTGCACCTCGTAGTGGGGACTTCATGGCAGCCTCAACCATGCCCACCAGTAGTTGGAGACTTTTGGGGTCCTGCGCTAAACCAGAGGCAAACGCTGCCAGGGCGTCGGCATGGCGACCAAGGTACTGCAGGGCCACACCCTGACGGAAGTATGCCTGATGGAGGGAGAAACGGAGAAGGAGAGGGGGCGAGAGGGAGAAGAAGTTAGGGGGAAAGAGAGAAATATTAGATATACTGGACATTCAACAGCTAGTCATCCTCTCATTTTGCGCTCTCATTTGGTAAAATAGATTGTACATGTATTAAACGATTGTTGTATGCATAAAAAGAAAGGAATTCAATAAATAATAAAATCATGTATATTTAAATTAACAAGATGATAAAAGTTATAATAATACTGTTGAGAGAAAGAGAGGAGATCATAGGAAACTCTTAAAGCTACATCAGCAATTAGCACTGCAGGACTACTGCTACTGACTGTGTGTGTGTGTGTGTGTGTGTGTGTGTGTGTGTGTGTGTGTGTGTGTATGCATCAGTCTATACTCAAAGCTCCCCACCAATACTATAACGTACCAAATTCACAAAATCAGACAGACTCTTTCTGACAGCAGGTAGAGTCTGGACCCCTCCTCCCTCCCCCTCCGATCTGTCAGTCTGTCTATTAGCATGTCTGGCAGCTCCCCCAGAACCCCATGAACCCCTACTTCCCTATGTGATATGGCTATATCCCCTCTACCCCACAAGCCCACCTGCTGGAGGGACAGTTCATGTAGAAGCAGACTGTTGCCTGGGTCCATCAGATCCATACCAGACCTGGAGCAAGGAGATGAGAGTGTGTGTGTGTGTGTGTGTGTGTAGCAGAGAATGCGCGCTGGATGAACAAGATGCTTCAATTACCGCTCCCATTAATCAAGAACAGATGGCAACGCAATGGAGACAGAGAGAGAAGGTGGAGAAAAGCTGAGAGAGAGGTGAGAGAGAAAGTGGAAGAGGGAGAGAGGGAAAGAGAGAGAGAGGTGGGAAAGAAAGTGGAAGAGGGAGAGAGGGAAAGAGAGAGAGGTGTGAGAGAAAAAGAACAAGAGAAAGAGAGGAGATAAGAAAGGACATGCAGAGCAGACAGAAGAGTGTGAGCCAGGGACTATGTGTCAGCTGAGAGACACAACACTGGTACATGATGCATAGCTTAATATCTACCACAACTCATCGTCTTACTGCTTCACCACACCAATACACCTCCCCATTACCTTAGTGCAGTAAAACCACACACTGTATTGAAACCAGTTACAGCTGAGACCAACACAGAGTTACTCACAGTCTGAGAATGAATAATAATATGCCATTTAGCAGACGCTTTTATCCAAAGCGACTTACAGTTATGCATGCATACATTTTGTGTATGGGTGGTCCCGGGGATCGAACCCACTACCTTGGCGTTACAAGCGCCGTGCTCTACCAGCTGAGCTACAGAGGACTGTGTATACTGTGTCAGCATTGGAGAGAAATAACAACAAGCTTTGGAATACATTGAGCGATTCATATGATTAAATGTGAATATATCATAGGAGAAGGCAAATGAGTAGACTAACACAAGTACAGATGGAGTCAAATATATTGGCACCCTTGCGCAATTCACTATTTTTGTTAAAATTTAAATTGTAAAAACTTTGTGTTCACACATGTATTTGTTTGATTTACAACTGCACAGGACCAAGAAAAACAACAACATCTAAACTGAAATTCAGACGTTTTACTTCAAAGTCAAAAATAACCTCTTGTTTGAGATCAAATGTTTCATATGAGGTGACAGTACAAAATGTAACCTTTTATTTGAGGGTATTTCCATACATATCTGTTTTACCATTTAGAAATTAAAGCACTTTATATATCTAGCCCCCCCATTTGAAGAAGTCATGAGTATTTGGACAAAATGTACTTATAATGTATTAACGTTTAGTATTTGGTCCCATTTTCCCAGCACGCAATGACTACATCAAGCTTGTGACTCTACACACTTGTTGGTTGCATTTGCAGCTTGTTTTGGTTGTGTTTTGGATTATTAGATGCAAAGTTTGATAGAATGATGGCACCACCAGCACAAACCTTCATTCCGTTACCAAATTTAGCATCTGCACTGTTGTTCAAGTAAATGTGTTTTTGTGGACATTTATAAAAGTAGTCCTTGTGCATAGAGTTATGTAATTGTTCTCCCCTGTGGTAAGTTGCAGGTGCCTACAAGATAAAAAATAGCCATTCAACCAGTTTTGAAAAGATAAAAAAAACGAAACATTCGGCTCCATTGTACTCCATTGTAAAGTGCAAGGGTGCCAATATATTTGACCGCATCTGTAACTGCTCCGAGTGTGAGTGTGTTCTCCCCTCAAACTACAGGTCACACACAGGTTTGTTTTACTATCCTTGTGGGGACCCAAAAATGTATTCCCATTCAAAATCCTATTTTCCCTAACACTAACCTCAAACCCTAACACTAAACCTAACCCTAATTGTAACCCTAACCCTAAACCTAACCCCTAAGCCTAAAATAGCCTTTTTCCTTGTGGGGACCAGTGATATGTCCCCACTTGTCCAAAGTTTCCTTCTTTTACTATCCTTGTGAGGACTTCTGGTACCCACAAGGAGAGTAAAACCAAACCACAGAGAAACAAAGACACACACATACAAACTTTCACACTTTGATTGACAGTCTAATTACCAGTGTAACAGAGCCAGCCCTGCTGCTAACAGGATCAGAAGGCCATTTGTGTGTGTGTGTGTGTGTGTGTGTGTGTGTTTGTGTGAGGGGAGCAGGGAACGCCAATAGTGTATTTATGCGTCTGAGAGAAGCAGGGGAATGAGTCTGGCTATCTGAGGCAAGATAAAAAGGAGAGAGAAAAGAAGGGAATTGCTTTGGGTCACATGGGGAATAAACGAGTGAGTGTGTCAAAGAAGTGGCATTGACCCTGGCTAGTGACGTGAAGTAGGACGCCAGTGTGTGTGTGTGTGTGTGCGTGTGTGTGTGTGTGTGTGTAATTCAATAGGTGTTGACCAGACCGTGGGGAAAGATAGATAGTATGTACACTCCCTTTTATACTATATTAATTTAACAATATGTTTTTTATTGCCTTCGATTGAATTAGAACATATCATGATGTAAATAAGTTTGGACTTAACTGTTTTTTCAATCTTTTTTTGGGGGGGGGACTGCAATTTGCACCACTTATGTAGAATCACCCGTATACACTCCCCTACATATGTATTTGGACAGAGAAGCTAACATTTTAAATTTGGCTCTATACTCTAGCATTTTGGATTTGATATCAAATGTTTCATATGAGGCGACAGTACAAAATGTCACCTTTTGTTTGAGGGTATTTTCATCTGTTCTACCATTTAGAAATTAAAGGACTTTATATATCTAGCCCCACAATTTGAAGAAGGCCATTTGTGTGTGTGTGTGTGTGTGTGTGTGTGTGTGTGTGTGTGTGTGTGTGTGTGTGTGTGTGTGTGTGTGTGTGTGTGTGCGTGTGAGGGGAGCAGACAATGCCAATAGTGTATTTATGCGTCTGAGAGAAGCTGTCCCTGCATCACACTGTTTACATCCTACCATGACAGTGAGTGAGGGAGACATGGAGCAAAACACCTGTTAGATCAGCCGACATCTGCATTTAAATTATCCCTCCATCTCTCTCCTCTCTCTAATATATTCATTTAGCAGCGGCAGACCACCACTGTTAAATTGTTGGCGCCACAAAAATTTATAATAATCATGGATGGTAAAACGTTTTCAGTGAAAACTTAAACGACTAAAACCAGATATATAGTATGTAGAAAAGATAATGGATCTATATATTTTTTTAAATTAAGATCATCTTTGAGAACTAACAATGACCAAAATAAACTAGACAGTCAGGGAGATTCAACATTTTCTAAAATGTCATGGCATGGTGGCCCCCCATTGATTTTATTATAATGTTTGAGTCATTCAGATACCAAAAGAACATGGCATAAGCCATGGTAAAATGTGTCGAACTGCAGAAAATTTGCTTTAAAACTACATTTTTTTCTCTCAGCCCCATGAAATAATGTATAGAATTTCAGGAAACTAGCTTTAGAACTGAAATATTTTCTCTCTGCCCCATGGCAAAAGGTGTAGAATTGTAGGAAATTAGCTTTAAAATGGTTGCATGTTGTCTCTGCGGCCAAGAGGAGGGCCTTTAAAATTTTGGTAGAAGACAGTGCCATTTGTGTGAGTGAGTATGTGTGTGTGTGAGAGAGAGGGAGAGAGAGAGAGCGGGAGAGAGAGAGAGAGCCAGCCAGCACGTGATCATATCATGCTCACTAGCTAGGTTTCCATCCAATTGGCGACAGATTTTCATGCGAATATTCTGAAATCTGAATGAAAACAGTATTTTCCCACCAGAGATGTTTCCATCAAATTGACTTGTGGCAGATAAAAGGCTGTGCGTGATGACTTGTGTACATAAAAATTACTTTTGCGGTTAAATTCCCATGTACCGAATAAAAAATACAAGTTAAATGGGTTTCCATCGCATTTTCAACTCAACTGATGGTTTTGTCACAAAAAATGTTTAGTGTGCCCACTCAGGTATTGCACATGTGCTCTAGCCAACATCTCAAAGATATAGTGCGGGAATAGCATACATTATGAGATTAATATGGCCAAAAGAGCAAGATTATTTTTATTTATCAAACAGCAGCCAAGCATTGATAATAATAAATAATAATAATATGCCATTTAGCAGACGCTTTTATCCAAAGCGACTTACAGTCATGCGTGCATACATTTTTAAAAAAAATTTTTGTGTATGGGTGGTCCCGGGGATCGAACCCACTACCTTGGCGTTACAAGCGCCGTGCTCTACCAGCTGAGCTACAGAGGACCACATCATTATGTCACCAGAATAAGACCCTCAATATTTATTGGAAAGGAGCATCAAACTCATCACTGTGCACTTTCACCACACTTTGAAGTTCAAAATGTATTTAATCTGTAGCCTAATAAACTGCATGGTTTCCCGACTCGTAGTGGGAGGACCACACAACATATCATCGCGTGACTCCCAAATTTACTTCGATATGATGCTTGTTATATCAATATTTGTGCATAAAAGCGTTTCCACCGCCATTTCTCGCATAATAAATGTTACCAACAAAAGATCCCACCTTCTCTAGTGTATTTCGGTTTGTCTACATTTGGAAACTTTACTGGCAAATTTGCTGTTTCCATCAGGCCTGTCGTGACATTTTTTATCCGACATGTACTTTACTTACATAAAAAGGTTGGATGGAAACCTGGATAATGTCTGCCAATTACTGTTCAATTTACCACCACAAGAAGCTGTAATGAGATTATGAGGAGAGAAGAGGAACCCACATGCAGAATCACCCCGCATTTCTCTCACTCTCTTCCCTCTCTCTCTACCCATCCCTTTCTCTACCTACATCTCTTTCTCTCCTGAGATGTCCCATATTGCTCCTGGCCTTTTCAGTCACTGTGACATTTGCTCTCCTACTGCCTGCCTCTGTAAGACCATGTAATGAACGCCACTGGCTGTTGCACCACACCACATATACACACATACACACGCACACACTCCTGCATGCACACACAAACACAACACATTCTCGCCTTTTCTCTGCAATGTCTGGTTATTATAGCTCTTTGTTCTCTCACCATGCAGTGCTGTAGTATTAAATATTTAATGTTATATCCACACACCAGTCTAATTCAGATGTATGTTACCCTGTGCTTATGTGGTGTGTGTGTGAGTTTGTGTCTGTGTGTGTGTGTGTGT